CGATAGAATGGAAGACATGTTGGAGGGGAAACAAAAGATCAGCGAAGGACAAGCTGGATTTAGACCAGATCGTAGTTGTGTAGACCATGTATATACGTTGAGTAAAATTATCCAAGGTAGGAAAGACGCCGGGCGTACGACATACTGTTTCTTCCTAGATGTACAAAAAGCCTACGACACCGTTTGGCGCAATGGATTGTGGAAAAAGATGTGGGACATAGGGATCCGGGGGAAAATGTGGAGGATGTTGAAAAAGATGACAGAATGCACAAGAAGTGCAGTGATGTTGGATGGGGAAATCTCGAAGTACGTGGATATACTCCAAGGAGTCGCACAGGGCTGTACGATGTCACCCACTCTTTTCAAGATTTACATCAACGACTTGATAAGGGCGGTTGAAGCAGTAAGACAGGGAGTCCAAGTAGGGGGAAAGAGTGTGTCCGGACTGATGTTTGCAGATGATTTCGTGGGGGTATCCGAAACACCAGAAGGGTTGCAGGAAGAAATAGATGCGGTAGTAGGATACACCCGAAAATGGAGACTGTCGGCGAACGTAGGAAAATACGCAGTAGTGGTGTTTAACGAAGACAAGAAAAATCCCGTAGAATTCATTGGAAATGGGGGGAGGAAGAACTACCGGTAGTAGACAGGTATACGTACCTGGGAGTAGAGATTTCGAAGGAGTGCTCATGGGACGCACACATAGCAAAGTTGATTGGGAAGGGTAAAGCTCAGATAGGCAAGATGGACGAGATCCTTACGGACCCACACCTAGACACTAGGATTAAGAGGTGTGTTCTCTTGAATGTGATTGTACCTAAGCTAGAGTATGCAGGAGAGGTATGGGAAGGTAACGAAAAGGCCGTCAAGCAGCTGGAAACGGTGCAGATGGCAGCGGCCAAGAAAATACTAGGATGTTCAAGTACAACGAGCAACACAGTATTGAGAGCAGAACTGGGAATGTACTCTCTTAAAACAAAGAGAGACATGCAAAAGTTGAATTGGCAGTACAAGGTAAGTAGAATGTCGGACGATAGACTACCAGCCATGGTTGACAAGGCAGCTTGGGGAAAAGCGACTCCAGGGAAGAAAGGAATCAGATGGGACAAAGTGGTAGAGAGGGTTTGGAAGGAGATAGGAGACGAGGAGGGGAAGGGTTTGGGGGGTTCAAGAAGAAAGTCAAGGA